AAATCATTATTAATATCATATGTGCTTCAGAGACCTGCAGAATCTCATGAGCACTATGTAAGATTGTAAATCATGTGTTTTATTTATTAAATTTGCTAGAGTATTACTAGTAATTTCTTTTTACTTTGCTGTGAAACTAATGAATCACACTAGTAAAATGTATATCTGGTGTTGTAATGATATCCTTCTTTAATCATTGCTGTCTGTGTTTGTTTACGTTTGTATATGTGTTAAGCATTCAGCAATAGCTGATTTATGTCTTCAGATTGAAGCTTTGTGTTAAGATGAGACTACACAAGAGTATGTCTCAGATGATATAAACTACATTACAAGCAATGACAAACAATGATGGAATACCTTCCATCATACATTCTACATCTGAGACATACCTACATAGTATATATAGACTAACTAATCAACAGACAATGAAGCAAGCTGCAAGAGAGCGAGCCAAGTCCACTATCCCCCCCCTCTTTGTGTGATCTCTCTAAGCCTCTCACATAACCTCTCTTCCCCCTTTCTTAACAGGTTATGAGCCTTGAGCTCCCTGCCTACGCTTTATCTACACTCTACTATGTCTATACTCTATACAGTTCTACACATCACATGCATGCACACAGTATACTATGACACAGAACTTGACTCACCTGTCTGAGTATCCCAAACACAAATCAACACACTGCAGACACACAATCTACTGTACTACATACAACCCAGACATTATATGATTGTCATCTTAGTGATTATGATCATTGGCCCAATAATAATGTAATTTATGCAGGCAATGTTGAAACTACAATGAGTATCACTTACTGCAACATTTAATCACTAAAATATTCTATAATATCACAGAGATTATGTTATAATAAATTAACTGATCATACTACAGACAAACGTTAAAAAGATTAATAAAGCAAACGCTACTCTTTCACTATTAACATTATAATAGTACAAATGATTGACACTGTCAACGAGCACACATATGTTATAGCATAAATTGAATAATAACATATATAGTAATATCACAGCCGAACGATTAATGCTCAAAAACAAGCACATATATGCTAAACAGCATATTAAATCAAATAAATAAAACATTTAACATGCATTATAAACAATAATACAATTGCAGACACTATAATAACAATAATAATAACAATAATAATAATAATAATACGGATAGAACTAACAGAATGAATACAGAACAATATAATAACTAATACATATTATTGTCAAGCAATTATATGTAACATATTGGATTCAGCAGTTACATGTCAGATATTGCAATTACTTATTGGATACTGAATATAATACACATATCTAAGATATACAGACAAGTACAAATATACAAAAGTATAATGAATAACTACAAACCAAAAAAAACAACACTACAGAGTGTATAAACTAACTACACACAAAAGAATAATGTTATAATGTGTAAATATTAATTACAGCACAAAACAAGTGCAAAAATTATAATTATTAAACAAATGATACTACTTTACACATTAATACAATTGTGTAAATGCATACTAACAACAAACAAAAGAATTATATCTCTAATATACTCAAAACAATGCATCAATACAACTTAATTATGCAGAACGTGTTATTACAGCAGTTGATTATATAATAAATTTCGAAGTTGCAACAGCAACATCAACTGTACAGCATATATACCTTAACAAACAATTATTAAATTTACATTGTGACAACATAGCTTGTA